AAAAAAAAAAAAAAAGAAAAGAAAAAAGAAAGAAAGAAAAAGAAAACACTCAGTCTTGGCCATAGCCTCCAAGGCCATGGCATCCCAGGCCAACCCCCAGCCTCCCCCCACTTCAGAGTCTTTGCACAGACTGTTCTCCCTCTGCCCAGAACACGCTTCCCTGTCCTTTCCCCGAGCCTTCTGCCTTCTTCAGACTCTGTTGCATGTCCTTTGGTGGAGCCCTGGCTGACCTCCTGGGCTGGTTTCCTTGCTTGTTCCCATGCTGCTTTGCACTTATGGAATTCAGTGGTCTGTGTTGGTCTCCCTTCAGCTGTGAGCTCCCCAAGGGCAGGACTGCGCTCACTGTTGCACCCTAGCTGGGCTGTCGGAGTCCGGGCTATCAGAGTCTCTGCTAACCACTTCATGAATGTACAAGCACACGAATGAATGAATGAATGAATGAATGAATGAATGAACAAATGACCTGAATTGTCCCTTCCCCAGGCCTGTGGTGGTGGAGACACGACCAGCAGATGATCCTACTGCACCCAGTAACCTCTACATCCAGGAATGAGCCCTTATGGGGGTGTTGGGAACCAGATCCTGCACCCTCTCTCCAACAGACACACTAGTGGCCACATCATGTCCCAGTCTTCCAATAAACATGGTGTTAGCCTCTGCTGCTATCTTGTTTTGTTTTGGTTTTTTGGTTTTGTTTTTTTGCGAGGAAGGAAGGATTTCTGGATGCCCACTCTCCCAAAACTTCAGCAACCCAACACAGTGATGGCAGGGGTTGCAGCACAGACTTTATTTCTCTGGTACAAGGTCACCTCCCCCTCAGCCGCCTTAAGGACGAGGGACAAGGAGGCTCAGGGGCTTGTAGTGAGAATAAGGCACTTGAGGTGGGGATGGAGGGCCAGTTGGGGTGTCTCAGCTTAGCTGATCCTCATATTGCTTGCGGAAACAGTCACCAGCTGGGAAGAAATCCCAACATCTCTCTTGGTACATCTTCCAGACATACGACTCCTACGTTGGGGATAAGAATCCATCAGTCATATGGACTCTGGCATTCTACTGCCATCTGCTGATTTGCCTTCTATTAAATTTTCAGAATTTTCATGTTCATGACCTTTAAAACTCTCTTACCTGACCCGTGTGTTCTGTCTCGTCTTTGTTTATCAGATACATTAGGAAGAACCTGAGGGAGACAAGGAAGAACCATCCTTGCTCTGTTTTCTTTCATTTATAGTATTACTGGGGATGGAACCTAGGGCCATCGCTACATCTAAGCCACATCCCCGGCCCAGACCCTTAGCTTCGGATTGGCTGTCTGGGACCCGCCCCCCCATCCCCCATCACCCCATCCCCTTGGTAGCCAAGGCTCATTACCTCCGCCCCTAGGTGGCAGAGGCCCACCCCACGCTCCTGATTGGCTAGAGGCCCTGTGCTTACATATAATTGGCTAGGTTGTGTTCCTCAAGCGTATGGGTTTCAAACCCGTGCGGCGTCGTATCAAAATAGTCGCTGCCTATTCCGCAGATGAAACACTTGGTCTGTGGATTGTGAAAGACATCAGTCTGGCTTGTTTGACCCCAATCCCCTAGCATCCCTCCGGGTCACCCCCACACATGACGCACCTCCATATCCTCCTTCACTTGCTCTTGTTGGTCTCGGAGCTCACCGAAAGCGTCGATAATCAGACCTGGAGTGGCAGGACACAGATTAGCACCTGACTTGGACCCATTTCAGACTCTCCCATCTGGCTGCCACCTCCGGGCCTGGCCTTCCATCTCCCATCTCCCCAGTCTTACCCTGCTTCCCAAGGATGCACCAAGGGGTCTATTGGGCACTTACTATGAGACACTTAAAGGCAGCAGTTGTAATCCTACATGACAACACCATGAGGTTAGTACCACTAGTGCCTCCATTTTGCAGGTATAAAGCTAAGGCCTGGAGAGGCCAGAGCAAGGTCTCACAGCAGGCAGAGCTGGGATAGGAATCCAGCCAGACTGGACCCTGGGCCTGCTCTCTTAGCTGTGGAGCTAACTCCTGCCTCTGGGCACTGAGCATACCCCCACCCACAGCCCCAGTACTGACCCTGGATGATGGCCAGCAGGATGACAATGACAAAGAAGAAGAAGGTGATGTCAAAGACCACTCGGTAGAGCTCATACTCATCGCCTGCTGGGTCCTCAATCTCATCCCCAATGCCTCCACCAGCTCGGACACCCACGTACATATGAAACAGGTAACACTGGAGAGAAGGATCACATTGCCCACTTAGCCCATCATCTGGCCTCACTGAGTCCAACCTGGGCCCTGTGCTAGGTGAGGCTTGGGACACAGCAGGAAGGGGACAGCCCCAGGCCCCCCATCTGGCAGGGATCACAGATATAGGACTGGGAAGTAAGAGCCCAGAAGTGGCCCTGGGTGAGAAAGGAAGGCAGAGGCACAGGCCTGGGACTGGGATGGGGAGGCCTGGTGGGATCAGCGCAGGACACTCAAAAAGCCCATGAGGCACCCGAGCCAGCCCCAGTGATGGGTGATCGGCAAGGCTTCCTGGAAGAGGCTGTATGTGCGAGATGGAACTCAAGGGAGGTGCTAGGTGAATGGGTGGAGGAAGGTGTTCCAGGCAGAGAAAACCACATGTGCTACATCACCAGCAGGGAGGAAAGAATACAACTTGCAGACTGGGGATGCAGCTCAGCGGTAGAGCATTTGTTTAGCGTGCGAGAGGTCCTGGGTTTGATACCAAATACCACACCAAAAAAAAAAAAAAAAAAAAAAAACACATACACACACACAAAATAAAACCACCCTTGCTCCTGTGAGGAACTGAAAGGGGTTTGGTGAGGCTAGAAACTGGAGCTTCTGTGAGCGGGCTCTTAGATGAAGCAGGGCCTGCAGTGGCACTGGGTGTGGTTCCATGGGTTCTTCAGTGTCCAGCCCAGGCAAGGTCAGAGAGCACTTCCTGTAGGGGCAGCATGTAAGTTGGAAAGGGCGGTGTCCAAGGAGAAGCATGTACATGTAAGGCCCCTGGTGGGGGCAGAGAGAATGCAGGTGCAAAGGCCCAAGTCAGGAGGAAACACATGGCCTCAGAGGAACTGAAAGAGGACTAAGCAGCCAGAAAGCAACGAGCAAGAGGGATTGTGGTTAGACTTCAAAAGGTTAGATTCAAGTGGGGTCAGCTCCAGCCTGGTTTTGTAAGCTAGGGCGGGTGATTCAGTGTCATCTACTGGGTGTGAGGGAGGCACAAGAAGGCTCTGAGGGGAGGAGAGGGCGGGGCATGGGCCACCAGGCACCTGTGAAAGAGTTCACACTTTTTCTTTCTGTGTTCCCGTGAAGGAAGTGAACCCAGTTGCCTTGAGGATGAGCTAAGGCTGGGGACTGAGTCGAACAAGGCTGCATACTGCAGGGCCAGGCCTGGCAGGCCTCAAATGTCAGGCTGAGGGGCTGGACTCTTCTGAAGCAGGGATTCATGGAGCTAGGTTACAGGGCCCTTCTGAGATTCACTCCCTGAAATGACTCCTTCAGTTGTGGCCTCTGCCTCTAGGAAGGTGAGGTCATTAAGAGTTAGGGTCACTATTGTTAGGAGACAGGAAGAAATATACACATGAACTGCATTCTGGGTTTTCTTGTTTGTCTGTTTTGATGCTGAGAGTTGAACCCACGGCCTTTTCATTGAGTTATATCCCTAGCCATTTATTTACTTATCTATACTGGAAATCAAACTCAGGACCTTGAGCTGGCCAGGCAGGTGCTTATGCCGCTGAGCTATATCCTCAGCCCTAGACCTTTATTTATTTATTTATTTATTTATTGGTGGAACTGGGGATTGAACTCTGGCCCTTGTGCTTGTGCTTATTCCACTGAGCCATCTCCCTGGCCCCCTTTATTTTATTTTGAAACAAGGTCTTGCCAAATTGCCCAGGCTGGACTTGAACTTGCAATCTTCTTGGTTCAGCCTTCCACCAGGGATTACAGGCATGTGCCACCATACTTGGCCCACTGAAACTAAAAATTACAGGTAATGGGGCCGGGGAGATAGCTCAGTAGAATAAGCGCTTGCCTGGCAAGCGCAAGGGCCTGAGTTCAATCCCCGGTTCAGAAAAAAAAAAAAAAATTACAGGTAATATAATTGACATTTAAATAAGCTTTAATATCTGCTAGGTGCTGTTCTTAAGATATTTTTTTTCTTCTTTTATCTTTTTGGTGGTGCTTAGGATCAAATCCAGGGCCTTTTTATATGGTAAGCTTATGGTTTACAACTGAGCTACATACTCCCATTCTAAGCATTCAGCATCCAAGGGAACATGTTTTATTCCTACAAAAAAACCCTGTGAAATTGGCACTATTTATTTATGTTTGTGGTGTTGGGGATTGAACCCCAGGCTTCATGAATGCTAGGTGAGCACTTTCCTACTGAGCTACATCCTCAGCCCAATAATATGCAGTTTTAGCAGCTCAAACGATCCTGGAACAACTAACCTTTAGGGAGCACTCATGTGCCTGGCTCTGTCCAGTGCAGCTTAGACGGCCCAGCTCCCTGAGCCCTCATGACAAGCCAACGACATACATATACTTGTCCTGTTTTGTTTCATTTTGGGGGTACTGGGGATTAAGCCTAGAGCTTTTTTTTTTTCCAATGGTTTTTTATATATTTGCAGTTGTAAAAAATACCACAATCAATTTTAGAAAATTTTCATCTTTCTAATTTACCCTGTACTCATCAGCCCCTCCCATTTCCCAATCTCCCAACCACAGGTAACTAATAATTTACTTTCCGTCTCTGTACATTTGTCAATTCTAGACATTTCATAAATGGAGTTACATAATAAGTGGTCTTTAAAAGCCCAGGGCTTTAATGCAGAGCTACATGCCCAGCTTTTTTCTTCTTTCCTTTTGCTTCTTTTATTTTACGTTATGAGACAAGGTCTAGCTGAGTTTCCCAGCTGGACTTCCACTTGTAATTCTCTTGCCTCAGTCTCTCAATTACTAGGATTAGAGGCAAGTGGCTCCAGGCCTACCGGCCTGCGTGCTGTTACTATTAACTCCCTTCACAGGTGGGGAAAGAGCCCAGCAAGCTCTAGGGAGGGGGCTCACCGTCATCATGTCGTCACACTTCATGTCAGGTTCGTCCTCATCCTCACTCTTGTTGTAGAACTTGCGGAAGAAGTTGAAGGCCACCACAGTATACAGGTAGACCACCACAGCCAGGAGGCCCACGGTCATCACCAGCTATGAGTAGGCAGGGGTGTGTCAGCTCTGGGTTGGTTTGGTTTGGTTTGATGGTACTAGGGATTGAAGGTGTGGTCCTTGCATTGTGCCATCTTGCCAGTCCTTTTTTTTTTTTTTTTTTGAGACAGGGTTTGGTTAAGTCACTAAGCTGCCCAGGATGGGCTTGAACTTGCCACAGGCTTCTTGAGTGGTAGGATTATAGGTGAACAATACCAAGCCCAGCTCCCTTCCAGGTCCTTACCCTACTCAGCACACAGGGCCCTTGCCTCATCTTCACTGACTACTGCACCCTGGCACAGCCTCCTGGTCTTGCCCCTTTTGCCCCAGCTGCTTGGCACCAGATCACTACACCCATCCCTGCTCCGTCCCCTCCACACCTGCTTCCCATTGTGGGTGACGGATGAAAGGATGGTGCGAAGCGTCTTGACTCCCATGGCGATGTCCAGGAGGTGGGCGGCGAAGAAGAAGTTGTTGTAGTGTCCCAGGAGAGACATCACCATGTACCAGCCCAGGTACAGGAAAGACTATGGGTACACAGGGCCCAGGGTCAGGGACACAGAGGGACATACCTGGAGAGACACCCCACTGAATTCCTCCCCACCTATGGACCCTTCCTCACGTTGTCCGTGAAGATGACCCCAAACTTCCAGATCTGGTACTTGACATCGATGGACATGAGCCTGTGTGGGGGAGGGGGAGGCAGCAAAATGCCTGAGTCTGCACCCTGCCGCCCCCCACCCCCCACCCCGCCCCAAGCCTGAGGACTGGCCCCAACTCACCAGGTCAGCAGGCCAGGCGGAGGGTTAGGCTTGCGCTCATTGTGCGCTGTGATCTCCAGTGTGGCCAGATCCATACCCAGCAGCTCGGCAATCCGCTCCCGCCCGAAGATATCACCATGTTTTTCCAGGACCTGCCCACCGGGGAGAGTGTCAGCCAAGCGCACATGGCTGGGGGTGTGGGATGTCATGGCCTGCATGGGGATCTGGGGACACTGATGTTTGCGTGAGAAGCTGGGGTACATGTTTCCAGGGAGAACGCATGGATCTTCTTTAGCTTCTCAGGGGGAGTCTCCAAAAAAGGAGAACTAGCTGATTCAGTAGCCAAGTTAATTGGGCTAGTAAATTATTTTAGGTGGGTAGGCAAGGAAGCCCATAGAGGCCCCCTGTCATCTATAAGCTGACCTCCTCCTCTTCACCCCTACTCATTGTTCCAGCCTCATCGGCCTCCCCAAACACACCAGGGGTATCGCTGCCTCAGGGCCTCTAGTTCGGATTGCCCCCTGGCTCACTCCCCCACCTCCTTAGGAATTAGTATTTTTCCTGACTCTTCTACAGGAAATAGCAACTTCTTCTAACCACACCCACCTGCCCCCACCCCCTCGCTGTTTAATTCCCCTGCCCCACAGACCTTGCGCCCACCTGCATGTTATCAATGCGCTCATTATCTGTCTTTTCAACCTAGGTGGCAGAATCATTGATAGGCTCCAGCCCCTGTAAAAACTGCTAAATTATCATGGCCCTGATCCAACATGGCCGAATCCCCAAAACAACAGCTCATCTTCTCAACGACCACTTTCCCGCCTTCCCCACTCCAGCCCTGGATACAGCTTCCTTTTTATCTTTCCCACCCCCACAAGGGAGCCCCCAATCGGCTCCTTGTATCCCTGAACCTGCCCCTCAAACTCCACCCCTAAAACTGTTCATAAAGTCTCAGCCTTCCCTTCTTAGGTCGGAGTGCCTGCCATCTCCCTGCCCTCGATCCTCTCCATGTCCCCAGACTTCTTAATTTCTGCTTCTCTGCTGCTCTGCCGCTGAAAAACCTAACACCGTTTCGTTTACTGTGGGATCCCAGGCTCCTGAAGCGCTTCCTGGCACACACTAAATATTCAAGAATTGAATAAATATGTTTATTTCATCTACCGAGTGATGGAATCAACACTTAGCTGATGTTTTCCTCTGTGTGTCCCAATTCTGCTTGCATATTAGGTTAAGTAATTCTTCCAACAACCCTGTGGGGCTCGCCTTATCATGACCCTACTTTGAAAATGAGGGAAACTGAGGAACAGAAAGGTTGAGGAGCTAGGAGTGGAAAAGCAGGCGATCCTTAGCAATGTGTGCTTAAAATAGCATTCTCACACATTCCCTCACAGCCACTATTTATTTATTAGCCCTTTTTATTTTTTATTTTTTGAGGTATGGTCTGAGTCACTAAATTGCCACGCTGGACTCCAAACTTGTAACCCTCCTATCTTAGCCTCCCAGAATCTGGGGATTACAGGCATGTACCCCAGCTCCATGCCCCAGGCTACAACAACTATTAACTGGGCCGCCCTGGGCCAGGTAATCTTTTATTTTTTTTCTTTTTGTACTATAAATCAAACTCAGGACCTTGCCAGGTAGGTGCTGTGCTATTGAGCTATACCCCAGCCTGGGCCACACATTCTGCTCGGTGTTACATGTGTCCTCTCCCTGGAGAGTGAAGGTGATTCTGTCCCTGTCCCCAGGGAGAAAGCAAAGTGCTCCTTAGAGAAGCAACACCTCTTGCCCAAGGTCACACACAATGCAAGGGCGTGGTCTGGCTGGGATGGCCCCATGACAGCAGGGGACCCAGCCCAGACAGCTCTGCCCCCTCCCCACCCACGCCTTACCTTCCGCTTGACAAACTTGTCCCAGTAGTTGCTGGGGAAGGACCTGCCAAGAGAGAGCTCCTGTGAGATGTCAGGGCAAGAGGGGACAGGAGCACAGCCAGTCCAGAGTGCCCTGAAATCCCAGTGCTTTCTTTTCTTTTTCTTCCCTTTTTCCTTCCTTTCTTCCTTCCTTCCTGTCCTTCCCCCTCTTAAGGGATGATCTCACTATGTTGTGCAGGTGAGCCTGGAACTTCTGGGTTTAAGCAATCCTCCTGCCTCAGCTTCCCTCCCCACACCTCCCAGTGGACAGGGCTACAGGGCTGGGTACAGATTCATTCAGTTCAAAATCATGGTCCCCAACCTGGACATGGTGGCGCACACCTGTAATCTCAGCACTTGGGAGGCTGACATGGGAGGATTGCAGCAAGTTCAAAACCAGCCTGGGCTGCAAAGCGAGCTCAAGGCCAGCCTGAACTGCATAGGGAGGCCCTGTCTCAAAAAAACCAAACCAAACCCCAAATCAGGGTCCCCATGCAGTTAGAGCCAGAAGAGAATATCCCAGAACTGTCCTTAACTGGGAGACTCTGTGTGCAGAACGCAGGGAGAACCCAAGCAGCAGCCTGACCCCATCTCAGCTCCAGTGAAACAGCCTGCTGCTCCTCACAGGGCCAGCAAGCCAGCTGTCTGTCTGTCTTTCTTTCTTTCTTTCTTTCTTTCTTTCTTTCTTTCTTTCTTTCTTTCTTTCTTTCTTTCTTTCTTTTTTCTTTCTTTCTTCCTTCCTTCCTTCCTTCCTTCCTTCCTTTCTTCCCTCCCTCCCTCCCTTTTTTCTTCCCTCCCTCTTATAGTTCTGGGGATTGAATATAGGACTCAAGCACTTCAGCATTAAGCTACATCTCCAGATGTTTATTTTATTTAATTTGATGCTTCTGGCCTTGGACTTACCAGTTTTCCCACTGACAAGTCGGTGGCTTAACATCTCGCCAAGGTAGTGAGGGGTGCAGGGGTGGATGGGAAGGTTTCTTAGGAATCCATGCACTGAGAAGGCTTTGAAGTGTTTCAGTTTCCTGTGCATCCCACCCGATGGTCACTGACTGGTCCAGGGCGAGCCCCTCCCTCCTAGCTGGCTTCTTGTTCACCACTTTTCACAGGGCTTTTTTTCTGGCCCAAATCATCGTCCTGTATTTGCCTACCCCAGCCCTGAAAACTCCCATTTCTCTAGGAAGTCTGCTTCCCGCTCTTTCTCCCCACCCCCCTTTGGGACTGGGGATTGATGCTTTCACCTTGAGCTACATCCCCAGCCATTTTTATTTTGGGATGGTCTTCCTGCCTCACCCTCTCCGAGTGTTGGCCTTATCAGCGTGTGCCACCATGGGTAGCTCTGTTCTTTTTCATGGGAAACTACATTTAAAGTCAAGATCTCAGACAGACACTTTTAATTCATTCATTAGTAATTCTGCAGTACTGGAGATGCCATGCATATGCCAGCATGCGCTCATCCTCCAGACCCTATTTTATTTATTTGTTTATTTTATTTATTTATTTATTTATTTATTTATTTATTGCAGAACCGGGGATTGAACTCATGCTCTATGCTTGCCAGGCAAGCGCTTATTCTACTGAGCCAATTCCCCGGCCCCTAGACCCTATTTTAAACAGCTCTCTCTCTCTCTCTGCTTCTCTGCTAAGCTGTATACCTGAAAGTGGGTAGGTTAAAGGTAGCTTTGACAGTGACAATGAGGCTGCAGGATGTGCTTATCTCTCTTCCTTGCTCCTCATATTCTTTCACTAGGTGAGGCCCCATAAGACGCCCCAGATGGTGCAGCCCCTCTTTACAAACACATGAACTGGGCCTCAATCCTGGTGGGGAATGGAGAGGGCTGGGAGTACAAGGTGGGGCCCTCATATACCCTTTTTGTTAAAAACCTAATGCCATGGTTTTCATTCGTGCCTGGGCCGAAATGATCCCCAAAGGCTTTAAGTTTGGGCTGCCAGGCCCACCCAGCCTCACAGGATCAGAGCCTCCAGGGTGCAGCTAGGAACCTCCATGTCCCCAGCACCCTCAGCTGAACTAACGCTCAGGAAAGGTATCTTTTATAGAGAGGAAGGCCAGGCTCGGGGAGAATGAGTTGGGTCTACGAGAGCTGCAGCCCTGCCGCTGTGCTCCGCGGTCCAAGCCCTGTCTGCTCTGCTCCCCCCGCGGTCCAGGCCCTGTCTGCCCCC